AAAAATGGACACCAAACGTCATGACGCTCAGCCCTGGTACCGAGCCATGCTCATTTTGATCGCGAGAATTTTTACTTCTGGGATTTGTCCGAGCTTTCGATAAAGTTCACGAGTACCTTTGCAGTTGCTATACCGACTAGAGCTGTTTCGAGATTTCGATACTTTTTCCATTTTCGCGATCTTTCGAAAAGCCATTGGGGCAACAACCGGCTGGGGATACTGCTAGGCATATTGTCACCTACATAATTACCTAATTTAGTGCCAGATATATTTTTATCTTATTCTTTAGTTATTGCAACACTTGCTCGAATAGTCTCCTTGTACTGATAGGCTATTTGTTGCTCTGCTACTCTTTCTCTGTTTATTCTATTGTTGTGAGATTTGTTACAGTTACAGAAAATCCAAATAAGTAAGTTCCGATTTCCAAAAATTTACGATTATTTCCGACTTCCGAGTTCCGACTTTTGAGCCATTTCCGATTTCCGACAGTTCCGAGTTTCCGAGCACCTTCTCACTTCCGATTCACCTCTGATCAAAAGGAAGATGTAGACAAAAAGGTCTCCGTCAAAGATTCTAACTGATAATCTGACCATATTATGAGATGAAAGATTTATATATTGTAATGAGGGTAAATTTGGAGGGGATATCTTTTAGTCAACTCCCCTCTCCCCAAATAAGTATTTAACCAACTTCTAAGGAACATGTCTTAAATTTGGGTGATCCTATAAAATTGGGATGTTTACTAAACAATTTTCCCCAATTTTAGGCCAGTAATATGTCTAGCAACAGATATATCTCCACAATCTTATTTTTCTATGAGTTTATTCCTCAATTTGGTTACTCCTATATTATATGTAATTGTTGGTATAATGCTTAGATTTAAAATAAATCCAGGTGATTTTCAAAAATTCTTTTTCATTACCTAAATAGTTTTACATAAAAAATTCCAAAATTTCAAAAAATTTCAAAAATTTCAAAAAATTTTCAAAAATTTCAAAAAATTTCAGAAAATTTCCAAGAAATTTCCAAAAAATTTTTAAAATTTCCAAAATTTTCAAAAAATTTCCAAAATTTCCGAAATTTCCAAAATTTCCAAAATTTCAAAAAATTTTCAAAAAAATTTCAATCAGCAAAAAAATTTTTTAAAAGATCAACAATACAACAAGACTATATGCCAAATATTCAAAGCAGTTTTTTCCATGATGATTTTACAATTATTTGGCTGGTTAAATAACCAAATTTTACAGACAGTTATTACTTTTCTTAATTTGGATTTGTTAACTTCTTGGTTTGTTCGAAATATTGGAGCCTTTCCTTTATATGTGGCTTTAGCTTTGGATGCTCTAGCCTTATATTTATTTAGGTTATTTTTTGAAAAAATTTTTTTAAATTATCAGACTGATTTTGTGTAATAGACATTTTTATAACCTCAACTCAAACTAATAAAAATGGGTTTCGGAAATTTTACGGAAGTTTTAGTTGAAACACACATGTACAAAACCCAAAGATATCAACGAAAATTGACTCGAACTTGAAAACCCCTAAAAACCCCTATGAAAAATAAAATATCTGGGCGCGAAGGTGAAACTTGATAAAAATCAGGTTACCAAAAATCTCTAAAACTGGAATCTTCATTAAAATAAAATAGAATCTTCGAGTTTGAAAATTATTTTTTCAGTCATGACTACAGAAAGAATTTCAACAAATGTTTTCCTCATCTTTCCTCTTTATTCTGTAAAAATCCAAATTCATCAAACAAAGTTGTGCCCTTCTTAATACACGTACAAAAATCAAAAAGTTTAAATATGGATAAAATTGATATTGTAAGAAATACAGCAAGATAAAGAAATATAGATGGATTAATCTCGAAGTTGAATACAGAATTGAATAAATGAATGGAAGGAACTTAAGGAGGAAGAATGTTGATGAGCGATGTTTCATTGGAATTTTAGAACCTGTACATACCTGCGTGATTTTAATGTATAAAGGACATTTATAGTGTGGCAATTGAACGATACTCTCTAATAGAGCGGCCTATATAAGTGTAAATTAAAAAATCGTGTGGTACATGGATCCATTCGAGTTTTGGTGATTTTTGTACTAATGATGAGTGTGGAAAAAAATTTATTTAACAAGTGACCTCTCATGAAAGGCCAAAATAAATTACCATTCCAAGGGCCAATAAAAATTAAGGAGACTCAATAGATATATTAATTTTTATTCAAGATATTTGACAAACGACGTATCCAAACGATAAACGTAAAAAATACATATATCTATCGTTTGTCGATTGTCTGCCTAATATTAGGCCCCAGGAGTTAGGAGATAGATAAAGCACAAGAGGCTATCGCAGAAAAACGCGAATCACTCTCCCTACGTCTCCCTTCTCGAAGAGGGGTTGATTTTTATTAGTCTATCCCAGCTTTAGCCTACTAACTTTAGCCTACTTTTTTTAGTTGTTAGTTCTAAAACAGATTTAGGCATTTTTTAAAATCATTTTTCTTGGAAAATAAAATAAATTTTATATTTTAATCTCTCATTTACAAAAAAAAATTAAAAATTAAATCTAAATTTTTATATTTTCATTTATATATTGGTGTAAGTACAGCTAATGATGTTCCATTATTCGACGATGTGGTTGCGTTCGTACTCGAATTTGTCGGGCTCAAATTAAAAATCACTGCGCCGCTTCCAATAAATCTTAAAATAGCTAACTGCACATCACTTGAAATTGTAAGAGGAGGTGGATTTGTTCGAGTACTGCTCGAATTTGTGATGGTTGGGGGAGTTGTAGATATACTGCTTGAATTTGACGGTGAATTTGTTGAAGGAATTGATGTTGATGAAGTTACGGTCGACATTGCTGATGGTGATATAGTAGATGAACCATTTGTACTGCTAGAAGTTGAAGAATTTGTAGATGGGACTGTTGTAGTTGCAGATACTGTGGAATTTGAATTAGATGATGAATTAGTAGCTGGCCTTGATGTTGTTAATGGTGAACTGGCTGAATTAGTTGTTGGAGAGTTTGTAGTAGAACTATTTGTACTGCTTGTGGTTGATGAATTTGAGGATGGCCCCATTGTAGTTGCGGATACCGTAGCATTCGAATTAGATGAAATAGTAGCTGGCCTTGCTGTTGTCAATGATGGACTGGATGAATTAGTTGATGTAGAGGTTGTAGTTGAACCATTTGTACTGCTTGACGTTGATGAATTTGAGGATGGGCCAGTTAAGGATACTGTAGTATTCGAACTAGATGATGAATTAGTAGCTGGCCTAACTGTTGTTAATGTTGCACTGGATGAATTAGTTGATGGAGAAGAAACTGTAGATGAACCAGTTGTACTGCTAGAAGTCGAAGAATTTGTAGATGAACTTGTTGGGGTTGTGGATGATATATTGCTAGAATTTGAAGGTGAAATTGCGGTTGGACTTGCTGCTGTTACTGTAGTTGCTAAAGATGTACTGTTTGAAGTTGTTGTCGGACTTGCAGTTCCAAATATTGGCAAAATGCCTGTATTGTTAGTAAAAGGCATTGATGTATTGCCAATTACAAGATTTATCATGGTTGTTGTTGGGACGGTAGAATTTGTTGGCAGAGTTGTGATGGTTGAATTGTTCAATATAGTGGCTGTTATTTAAAAAATAAATTATTATAGCCTCCTGGTTTCAGTTTTCTAGGATAACTAAAAAATGTGACTTGTCATACTACTCAACCTATGAAAGCTGAACTAGGGTAGCACCCCGAGCCTTAGGGGCTGTAGTATCGGGATTCGGTTTCCGGGGTAGAGCCTTTGGGTTTAGGGTCGGGGTTTTCGTCAAGGTTTCGGGGGAATTTGTCGGGGTTTCGGGGGATGGGGTGCTACCCTAATTTGAACAATAAATCAGAAAGGCATGGAAGTTGAAAATTGGGGGTAGAAAAATTGGGGATAAGAAGTTCGCGGACCTCTTTATAAAAGAGTAATTGAACATTATTACTTGTAGATGAAGTAACATTTTGACTTGTCTGTGTTTGATTGTTAAGTTGTAGTTGAATGGTAATTTGACGCATTGCTTAAAAACACATTTAGTAATCGTTTAATGGTAGCAAAAAGGTAAACCTTCTTGATAAAGTGTATCAGAATTTTGATTAAGAATCTGAGAAATGCCATTAATTTCATTAGGGAATTGTGGATTGACTGAAATGATTGTGGGTGTGGTAGTTGTGGGTAAAGAAGGTTGACCTGTAATAGACTGTGTACTGCTTGAATTTGTCAAAACAGAGGTTGAAGTAGAGACCGGTGAAGCAATACTGGTTGAATTTATAGATGAAATTGTAGTTGCAGGAGGTGTACTGTTTGAATTGCTGGTAGGAGTTGTAGTTGCAGGAGCTGAGCTGTTTGAATTTGTGGGCAAGGTAGTTGCAGAAGTACTGTTTGAATTTGTGATTGAAATTGTTGTCGCAGGAGGAGTACTGGTTGAATTTGTAAGCAAAATTGTAGTTGCAGGAGGTGAAGTGATTGAATTGCTGGTAGGAGTTGTAGTTGCAGGAGCTGAGCTGTTTGAATTTGTGGGCAAGGTAGTTGCAGAAGTACTGTTTGAATTTGTGATTGAAATTGTTGTCGCAGGAGGAGTACTGGTTGAATTTGTAAGCAAAATTGTAGTTGCAGGAGGTGAAGTGATTGAATTGCTGGTAGGAGTTGTAGTTGCAGGAGCTGAGCTGTTTGAATTTGTGGGCAAGGTAGTTGCAGAAGTACTGTTTGAATTTGTGATTGAAATTGTTGTCGCAGGAGGAGTACTGGTTGAATTTGTAAGCAAAATTGTAGTTGCAGGAGGTGAAGTGATTGAATTGCTGGTAGGAGTTGTAGTTGCAGGAGCTGAGCTGTTTGAATTTGTGGACGGAATTGTAGTTGCAGTAATGTTTGAATTTGTGGGCAAAGTAGTTGCAAAAGTACTGTTTAAATTTATGGCCAACGTAGTTGCAGAAGTAGTGTTTGAATTTGTGATTGAAATTGTGGTTATAGTTTGTGTACTGTTTGAATTTGTGGGTGAAATTGTAGTTGCAATAGTTGTACTGTTTGAGTTTGTTGACGAAATTGTAGTTGCAATAGGTGTACTGTTTGAATTTCTGGTAGGAGTTGTAGTTGCAATAGTTGTACTGTTTGAATTTGTGAACGAAATTGTAGTTATAGTTTGTGTATTGTTTGAATTTGTGGGTGAATTTGTAGTTGCAATAGTTGTAATGTTTGAATTCGAGGGTGAAATTGCAGCTGCAATAGGTGTACTGCTTGAATTTGTTGGCGAAATTGTATTTCCAGATATACTGGTTGAATTTGTAACTGGCATAACAGTATTTCCAGCAGCTGTACTGCTCAAACTTATCAACGTTGCGGGTATGCCTGTAGTATTGTTAACTGGTGTACTGCTTGAATTTAAAGACGAAGTTGTGGCTGGCAAAGATGTTATTGGTAGAGGTGTGGTCACAGCAGCTGCACTGCTTGAATTGCCAGAAGAAACTGTTGACAATACAGTAGCCGATGTACTATTTAAATTTGCTGAAGAATTTGTAACAGGTAGAAGTGTAGTTGTTGGCACCTGCATAATACCCCAAATGTTTGAAAAGTTACTAGAAATTAATGGAACACCAATAGCCATTGTATTTGTAGTTGTCTGTAAAATAGCTGTAGACATAGATGGGAGTGTACTGCTCGAATTTGACGAGGAGTTTGTCAAAGGGTTTATTGAGGAGTTTGTCAAAGAATTGGCAGTTGTGGCCGCAATACTGGTTTGATTTGTTGTCGGATTTATAACTGAGCTAGCTGTAGTTGCTATGCCTGGACTGCTTGAACTTGTGGAATTATTAGCAGGAATTAATGCATTTGTGGTTGTTATTATACTAGAACTTGTTGTCGAATTGGTAACTTGCATTGCTGTAGTTGGCGAAATTGTAGTTGAATTAGATGTACTGCTTGAAGCTGACGACTGATTAATTAATGAAGTATTGGAACTAGGCATAGCCGTAGTTGCTATATTAATTGGTCCGGTTGTAGTATTATTAGAATTTGTCGCGTTTGTTACTGAAGAGTTTCCGCTCATGGTTGTGGGCGAAATGGTTGTTAAAATTGGCATTATGCCAAAAATATTTGACCCATTACTAGGGGCCAATGGTTCACCGATTACTCTGGTGGTAGGAGGAACTGAAGTACTGCTTGAATTTATCGAAGAATTATTAGTTGTGGTCACATTAGTTATATTAATAATTGAAGTTTGATTTGTGGTTGGGGTGAAAGAAGTTGGTATTGACATGGTTGCAGCAGATGTACTGCTTGAATTTGTTGAAGGGTTTGTACTTGGAGTTGCGGAAATACTTCCTGAATTTGTGGAGGAACCTGTAACTGAAATGACAGTTGATGGAATAGCAGTAGTTGCAGCAGCTGTACTGCTCGGATTTGGAGACAAATTTGTAGCTGCACTTGTCGGGGTTGATGTTAGATTAGTACTGCTTGAATTTGTCGAAATAGAGGTCGAATTAGAGACTGATGAAGCAATACTGCTTGAGTTTGTTGAAGGAATTGTAGTTGTAGAAGATGTACTGCTTGAATTTGTAGACGAATTAGTCAGGGAAGCCACAGTTGAGTTAGCCAACCCTGCTGTAGATACCTGCATTATTCCCCAAATATTCGCATTTGAAATATTAGAGGATATTGGAAGCCCGATTGATAAAACAGCGCTCATAGTTGTTGTTTGAAGGGTTGAGGCGTTTGCTGTTACATTCACAGGCATTGCAGTCGTTAAATTTAATGAAGAAGAGGATGGAGTAAGAGAGGCTATACTGTTCGAATTTGAGGAAAAATTAGTTGTTGATGTTGGTAACGGTGTCGTTGTACTGTTTGATGCAACTGAACTGCTTGAATTTGTGGACGAAGTAGTTGCAGAATTTGTAGCTATTTGCGTTGCTAAAGTTGTACTGGTTGAATTTATTTTGGTTGTTGAAGTTGTACTGCTTGAATTTGCTGTGGGTGCTGAAGTTGTACTGCTTGAATTTGTTAATGAATTATTCACTCCATTTGTACTGTTTTGAGTAGAGGGCGGATTATTAGTCGAATTTGTGTTTGTCTGCGTTGAAACCGTTGTACTGCTTGAATTGGAGGTCGAATTAGTAACAGAATTTATGGTCGATTGTGTTGTTGCCAGAATTATTGTGACATTGGAATTTGTCGGAGACCCTGTACTGCTTGAATTAGTTGATGTGGAATTGGCTAAAGGAGTTATACTTGTTGAATTTAATACTCCAACTGTTGGGATTTGCATTATTCCCCAAACGTTTGCATTTGAAATGTTGGCAGATATTGGAAGCCCGATTGATATAACAGCGCTCATTGTTGTTGTCTGAATAGTAGGGGCTAGAACCGTTACATTGTTTGAATTTGTTGAATTATTAGAACTAATAGATGGTTGTGTCGTTAAAAATGTACTGCTTAAACCTGTTGAACTATTTGACGAATTATTTGCTGCTGTTGTACTGCTTGAACTCATCGTACTATTAGATGAAGTTGCAGGTGTACTGTTCGAACTTGTTGAATTATTTGACGAACTGGTCGTTGCAGTTGTACTGCTTGAGCTTGTTGAACTATTTGACGAAATATTCGCTGAAGTTGTACTGCTTGTGGATGAGCTTGATCCTAGATTTTGTGATGCTATAGTCGATGGAGTTGTTGTGTTCGAACTTGTGGATGAGTTAGTAGCTGAAGTTGGTTGAGTAGTCGAATTAGAAGAATTTATAACAGAATTTTGTGTTGCTGTAATTGTTGGATTTAAACTGCTTGAATTTGTAGAGGAATTTCCTGTTGAATTAACTATAGCTTGAGTTGTTGTATTTGTAGTTAAGATTGTAGAAGAAACATTTCCTGCTTGATCGCTCATAATAGAGGCTCCACCCATTTGTAAAACAAGGTTGTTAGCTAGTGGAAGACCTCCTCCAGTTGAAGAAGTATTTAAAGTTTGTGGGGTAGAAATGGTAGCTAGTGTAGGTAACGCTGTTGTTGAACCTGTCATATTTGAGGGGGAACTTGTGTTTAGTTGAGAATTTGGCGTTGTGTTTATTATGTTCACAGTAGAATTAGTTACAGACATTGAAGGAGTTACCATGCTATTATTTAGTGGTCCAACTGTGGTTGAATTAACCTGATCACTTACAACATAAAACAAATTTCTTGAAGACGGCGTTACTTGATTTGAGGTTGTATTTGTTTGTGTTAACAGAGAGGAAGTATCGGTTACAGTAAAGTTTCCAGTAAGGGAGGATAATGTAGTTGATTGTGTAGTTGCCGATGTTACAGGTGCATCGCAAAAATATGAGGTGTAATTAATGTTGTCTAGAATAGCAAAACCCCCGCTTAGTTGAGGACTTGAGTAGACAAAGTTGGAAGATTCGATGATCAACTATGTGAAAATAAATTATTTAGTTGTGTCAAATTTAGAGATATCCAAAACTGAAACTATTCAAGATTCAAGACCCCAAGACTAAACATTGTTTCCTTGCAAATCCCTTAATCCTTGCAAATCCCAAGTTATCTCCCTTAATCTAGTGATTCACTACAAATATTGATTTATAAATATTATTTAGTTATTATTCTGCTAATTATCTCCTTAATAATGGAATTCATAGTTAATTCCAAAATTTTGAAAAAATTTGATATTTGATCAAATATTTGACATCTTTGGTCAAATTTTTTTCAAATATTTTCAAATATCAAATAATTTGATCAAATATTTGTTTGACCACTTTTGGAAAGAATCAAATATTTTCAAATACTTTCAAATATCAAATAGTTTGATTTGATATTTGATTTTGCCGTTTGTCCGATCTCTACTAAACAAAGACCTAAAAACCCCCAAATAAAGTCTTGAATCAAGACTAAGGGTCAAGAGTCTTGGACGTCTCTAGTCAGCTTCCATCGGTGGGGTATGATTCCGTGCACACGATTCCGTGCAGGCACGTTTCCGTGCAGACACGTTTCCGTGCCCGTTATAAAAAACACGTTTCCGTGCTCAATTTCTTTTTAATATAATAAACAATAAGAAAAGGTTTTGAGGAGTACAGTGAATATCAAGGGACTTGTGCATGACATCGAGACATAAACAAGGGGATATTGGTGGATATGGAGGAAAAAATCTCAAAAAAATTTTTTTTAATTTTAAAAAAATTAGAAGAACCCTGCTTCTAACCTATGACCAATAGAATCTTCGCTGGAAAAACTGTTTTTGTGCTGCTACGGAGGGTAGGCCGGGCATGGTCTTCGCTACACGATGGCCGTGCTTCGCTGCGGTCGTGCTCGCTTCGCTCGCGGCGACCGTAGCGAAGCGGCGGCCGTCGTTCCGCTCGACATGCCCGGCTTCCTCCGCAGCGGCAAAAACTTTTTTCCGCGTAAATTTTTTGAATTGAAAAGAAAAATACTGAAGCAAAGTTGATAAGTTGATAAAAAATATAACTTTTAAAATTTTTTTATAAAAATTTAAAAAAAATAAAAATATTTAAATAATTGGGCACGGAAACGTGTTTTTTATAACGGACACGGAAACGTGTGCACGGAATCGTGCCCGCACGGAAACTTGCCTGCACGGAAACGTGTGCACGGAATCGTGTGCACGGAAACGTGTGCACGGAATCGTGCGCACGGAATCGTGTCTAACCGAGCTTCCATAGGATAAACTGTAAATTTTTTAAATATAAACGGACCACTATTTCATGTACACCTTTGGGGTTGAAAAAATTTTATTCTATAGCGAAGGATACTCCCGTCCCCACCCCCTATTTTTTAATGTACAAAATGGTCAGACTGAACAAACGCCTTGGCCCTAGTCGCTCCTCGAACCAAAATTTAAAAAACGTTCATAAAGTTTTGGGTGCTTCTTTTAATGAGGTTACTACATTATTATACTCAAGACCAAGACAAAATTTTGAGACATATTCACCTGAAACTGTCCTCTTGGCTCAGGAATCATAATAACCGCAGGCCCAGGACCTTGATGTGTAATTGGCACTTTTTGACAATCATTGCTAGAATTTAGTGGTTGTCCCGACAATTTAATACAAACTGTGAGTTGTACAAAAGGACTAACCCAATAACTGGAAAGAAAATTTCATTTTAATTTATTTTATTATTCACTTGAATGTTAAATTCCCGGTTCCTCTCTGACAATCTATCGGTTCACTAATTAGTGTGGCTACAACTGTATTGTTGTTTGATGTGTTGTTAACTGGTCCGAAAGCAGAAATGGCATAGTATAAGTCTTAAATTAATTTTTAAAGAATTTCCAGTCCCCATTATAAGGGATCCTCTTTAATTTAGAAAGTGTCTTATAATGAGGTTTATCTTAAAAAGAAGGTATCACTTTGATAGACAAAACCCGGCCTCCCCCCAATATTCGTCTCCAACCAGTACCCAAAGAACTTAAGAAACGCCGGTTTTTCGAATTCTTAAAAGACGCCAAATGCAAAACGCCAAAATGTAACGCCAAAAAACTAGCGCCAAACGTCATTTTCAAAACCCCCATAAAAAGCACCTGGAAGCACATTTGTATTCGTTAGTAACTGCAACTCAACAGCATCTATAGGCACTGAACTTCGAAACCAAAGAATCGAAGATGGCGGCCATATTGAATTATGCCACCGGCAAGAATTATCAAAATCGGGGCAATTCCAAGTCTGATAAGTACTGTTTGCTTTAAATATTTAACAAAATTATTAACTTAAGAAGCTTCTTCTACATATAATCTTCTTTAGACTACACTTTATTTATTCTAAAGTGGAGTGATCGAGGGATCATTAACTCATTAGAAAATTCAATTTTCGTTAAAAGAGATGGGTAAAAACTCGAAATTTGTCAGACTTTCAGAAATCGGAAGGAAATCCCTAAGATATTAAAGGTGGACAAATACTTCCGACCAACTCTTGTTTATTACCTCAATCATACAATACAACTACTTTAAATAATAAATAACATACTCATTTTAAAATTCAACATCAGCAAAGTTAACCGTAGGAGAAAGGAATTATCAAATAAATTTTTAACTAGCCTTATCAATTTAATAAAAATTTTCATTTTTTGGGGTGTTTTTAAAAATCTCAAACAAAAATTTATTTAAATCAATGTTTGGCCTTGTGTTTATTAAATATTTTTGTTTTTCAATTTAAGACCTCCCCTCTAATTTTAAAGAACATTAAAATTATAAAACTCATTAAAACGAACACCCAATCATTTTAAGTATTATTGCGAATATAAAAGGGATTAGTCTGACCTGAAGAGAAAATAGGGAAGTTGTTAAATAGATTTTTTTGAAAAAAAAAAAATAAATTTTTATTTTGATAAAAAATTGTTAAAAATTTATTTTGAATTTTCAATAAAAAATTTAAAAAATGAGGAAGAATCGATTAATAAAATCAAAAAAGATTACAATAGGACCTCACTATAAAACCATTCTTAACTTATAATTAGGGATCGGATTTCAATATCTTTTTACTGAAATGGTTATGTTGGGAGAAGCTAAGTTCGTTTTTTGAATATCTTATCTTTTACAGAGACTTATTGTCAACTATTGAAACCTATTGCAGCCTTAAATATATTTAGTATGTTGGATGTTTTTGGCACTTAAAAGGAGTGTAGCCTTCTTTCATTTTTCTTTTTTTGATACCCATTTTGGCAATTTATACAACCAATTTAGGTACCTATTTTAAGGTTTTCGATCCCCACTTAAAAAATTATATCCCCACTTATAATGAAGTCTGTCTCAAATATGAGGTATACTTAGGTAGACTACTTCCCCTCCCACTCTCCAGTGCCCAACCATGTTTTAAATAGGGATGCGCCCCGAATCCTGAGGGCTCGTTTTTCGGGTAGCGTTGGAGGATTACTGACAATAAATTGTGAATGTTATTCTGTCAGTCATCCTCAAACGCTCCCTGAAAAAGGATTCGGGGCGCAAAAATTGAGGTTATCTAATATTGGATGTCTCTTATAATGAGGTCCGATTGTATAGAATCAAGTCAAAAAACAAAAAATATAAATTTATAAACAAATATTTTTTCTCTCCCTTTTACCATTTTGAACATTTTCTTGTCGTTTCAACAACAATTCTTTCCTACGTTCTGCTAATTGTTCAGCCTTTATCTTTAACTATAAAATAAATTTTTATTTTAAATTTTTGAAACTCTCAGAAAAATACCTCACGAATTTTAACTTCTTCAGCAGACAAAACATTTTGGAATGTCTCCATCTTTTTTCGAATACTTTCAGCTTTTTTGTTAGCATTAGCTAAAGACGATTGTACATCAAGTTCTTCTTGACATAGAGCCCAAAGTAAGGCCTGCTTTAAAAAAAGTTTTTAAGTGAACAGTACAAAGAGGGTTAAATGGGATATCGGTGTACTATATGGAGGGATTAAAAGGAATATTGAGGGTTCGTGAAGAATTAACGGGGGAATTAAAGAATTAACGGATTTGAAGGGATAAAGAGGATATTGAGTGATTTGCAAGGATTAGGGGGATTTGGAGGAATTTTGTAGAATATACTAGGTATATAAAGCTAGTATATCTAAGTCAGCCCAACCTAATCCTTCTTGACCTTCACAACACCTCGATATCTTTCCTAAATCATTTTAACAATATATCTCTTATTAACCCAAATATTGCAATATCTGTTACAAGTTAACGGGGGATATTGATGATTTGGAGGGATAAAGAGGATATTGGGTGATTTGTAAGGATTAGGAGGATCTGTAAGATTTAGGGGGATTTGGAGGGAATGTAGAATATACTAGGTATAAAGTATATCTACTCCAATCCCCACTTAATCCTTCTAAATCTTCACAACACCCTCAATACCTTCCCTAAATCCTTTCAACTCTTTACACATCCAAATCTCACAATATCTGTTAATCCCTCCAAATTCACCTCCCTCGATATCGCTCCTTATTCAATATCCATCACAACATGTCTCTTTACAATTTTGTCAACTAATGTTGAATCCCCAACTTTTCTCACCTCTTCTGTTGGCGTCTCGTTTTGACAAGTTGAATTAGTTGCCATTTCTTCCTCCTCTTCAATATAATCATCCAAATTATCCTCCCCATTAATTTGTTCATCTTCTTCTTCCGGGGATAATGCATAATCTGGATGGTGCCTTTTCAAGTGTCTACTCCAATTTCCTGGGGAGACTTGACGTTCACACAAGGGGCAAATATTTGTTTTTGGTAGACGAATAATGCTTTTACTCTTCTTGGTTTGTTTTTTTTCTGATACTTAAAAAAGGAAGGTTTTTATTTATCGTAATTAGGTAATTAATTTTCATTTGATTATGTATTCTTAGTTGTTATTTTTTTTTCCTTTCCCAGACTAAAAGAAAATATTTCCTAAAGGGTGTCTTAAGGTTTTGGAGAATGTCCTAGCTTGAGGTCTTAAAGTAAAATATACAGCTCGGACGTCGATAAACCTTTAGAACTGAAAAATATTAACCTATAGAAGGTTTTCTTAAAGTGAGATGTAGCTATCATCGAGAATATCCTATACTGCATTTTCCGACTGTACAACTAGCTTCAGGAATGTCATGGGTTGAGAGAAAGTCGGGTCGGGTTTCAAAAATTTCCCTTAGATCGGGTAACCCTTGATATCTGTTATATTTGTTGACAGTTAACAAGTAGGATTACAGTGCTGAAAAGAGTTACCCTTGCAGGATAGAGTGTATATCGGGTATAATAGAACTTTGGAATCTTACTTGCTTATCAAAAAAAATTCTGTTCTTAAAATTTATTTTTTCCATTCAGAATCATTTTTTACCCACCATTCAATTTCCGTTTCATACCCCTCCTTCCATCATTTTTAATTTTCTCAATGACAGAAGCTATTGTTTTATCTACACTATCCTCCCTCTCATTATTCTCTTCCCCTTCCACTTGCTCTTCAAAACTTTCAATATTTATTTCCTTTGTTTCGCAAGCAGTAGCTGTAGCAGACAAAGTCATTTCGTTTAATATTTGTGTAGAATCAAGATTATTTTGGGAATTTTGGGGAATTTGTTGTAAATCGTTTTTTGATGAATTTAACTTTAATTTAAAATTAAAATTTTTTTAAAAATATCCCCTTTGTGGAATTACCATTAATTCTTGTTTTTTCATTTCAAAAATGTCAGGTAAATGGAGTGAACGAAGATGGCGACTCCAATTAGATGCTGAAATCTGTTTGAGGCAGAATTGACATACTCCATTGGCAGGTCGGCGTATAATGATTCGACGGCCGGGGAAGAGTTCTGAAAGAAATTTTTTGATTTAGATAAGACTCAAGAATGTAAAGGAGACGAATTTACTTATAAATTAGAGCCAAAAATTCTTTTTACCTAAATCTAGTGTATATTGGGGGGGGAGGATTGGGATGTTAACCAGATACAAATTTTATCTGTCTATCATAACGTATTCATCCAGCTTATTCCGAATTCCATTGTCCTATTCTGTCCTAATTTTTAAAGAACCCCACCGGGAAGCGAGCCTAGCGTTACGTTTTTTAAATGTCTCTTGCGCTCACCCCTGAATCCCACGAGGTCACCCACTAAAGGCATCGGTCGGAAATGACGAAGGTGCAGGAAATCGGAACTGTCGGAAATCGGAAATAGCTCAAAAGTCGGAACTCGGAAATTATCCTAAATTTTCGAAGTTGGAATTCCGACCGACCTCTGACCCACTCCCATCAATCACTCTTTTTAAATCCAGCATTATAGTCCTATCTGAAACTTGCCTTTAAATAATAATTCGTCAGCCTTCCGGGCCTCTTCACTATATTCCTCTCCTTCTTCTTCCCCATTATTCCCATCAACTTCCTTAATAATTCTTATTTGTTCTTCATCTTCCTCCTCTTCCTCCCCCAAACCTTCTTTATCTTCATTATCCACCCCGAATAAATTATTGTGTTGAATTTGTTGATTCAAAAAATGCTTTAATTGCAACATTGGCAAGTCAATTTCTGACGATTTGGACGAACTTTGGGCAGGTTCTGCAACAATAATCTCTTCTACTTGTTCAGAACTATTTTTATTTTCACTATAAATAGGTGTAGTAAATTCTGGATGGTGTCTCTTTACGTGACGAGCCCAATTACTTTGACGAGTTTTGTAGAAGCAGAGAGGACAAATTCCGGACTTTGGGAGCTTAATGGTGCAACGTGAAGTCATCTTTCGCTTTACAGCTGAAAATAAATAAATGGTGCAGATATTTAATTTAGGTACTTGAGACGCAAGTAAAATATTTATCAAGAACTGTCAAAAAAACTTATGCCTCAAGTGGCCTATTTTCTAGAAATTTACAAAAAAGTTCTGACTCAAATAGCCCAATTTCCAAAAATTGACAAAAATCCCAAGACCCAAGAGACCTATTATCCGAAAAATGTCGAAAACTCCAGAATCAAGTGACCTATTTGCCACTAGAGATCTGAACGGGTCCGGGATCCACTTCCCGGTCCTTTTCCCGGTTTTTATGCAACCGAGATGAAACCGGGAACGGGAATTCCCGGTCCGCGTCCCTCCCGCTTTTTTTCGTTTTTACCAATGGAGGTTTGAAAATGGAATTATTTCAGGTAAATCCAAATCAAACCTACCCTTAGAATTTCTCTTGCTTCTTCTTAAAGGAATATCTGTCGTTTCCAACTCTTTATTATCCTTTTCATTGTCAATCTTTGTATCGAATTCACTACTGTAAAAGGAGAATATTTTTTAAAAATCTCATCTTCCCTCCCTTACATTTTGTTTTTGTCCTCATCCAAAGTCGTTGTTGTTTTTATTTTTTGTCTTTTAATAGGTGCCAATTCTGGAGACAAGCGATCTTCATCTTTCTCTCTTCTAGCAAGCTTAATGAATTTTTGATTTTAAAATCAAAAAATTTCTCTCCCAAAAATTACCTCCCCTCCCTTTCTCATTTCAACAATTTCCCCTCTATGCATTTGTTGAAGATGTCGACTCCAATTCGCTGCTGATATAATTTTTAGACAGAATTGACAAATTCCACTTGCCGGTCGTTTTAATCCAAATCTTCCTTAAATTGAAGAAATTTTTAAAAATTAAAAGGTGTGCGCAACAAAACGCCAAAAAATTTTAACGCCAAAAAACGCAAGCCTTTGCTTACAAAAAATTTTTTTCAGTAAATTTTATAAGTTTACCTCTTCGGCCAGGCATCTTTCTATGTTGTCTACACGATTTTTGAATTTTTGAGAATATTTTAGATAAAATTATCCTTTAAAAATCCCTTAAAAATGTTGTCTTCATTATGCCGTGTTTACATAAAAAGCGTCTTGCGTTTTGCGGAAGAAAATAGCATTCAAAAGAAGGAGAGACAAAATCGCGTCGTTTTATTTTCAATGCTATTTTCTTCCAAAAACGCAGACGCTTTTTATGTAAACTTGGCATTATAGATAAATTTATTAAGAATTAAATTATCGTTAAAAACTATCGTCTCAGGGCTAAACTTCAACCGATAGAAACCCGTCAGTCAAAAATCCGTCTTACCAAAACATTGGGCAGACGAAACAACGGACGGAGTTTTAGAAGACGGTGTTTAGGTTTTCTTTTCTCGCCCAGAACTCATTGAGGTTACAAATTTTTTAGTTTTAGTAAGCATAAAGTTGAAGATATATCGACGGAAAAAACATCAAAAAATATTATGGAAGGAGTTAAAATTGAAGAAAATATAAAAGAAGAAAGGAGATGGATGACTACGTGGGCGACTTGTCGATTTCGTCAATATAAAAGACCTCCTTCTTCTTCCCCTTCTTTTCTTCTCTTCTTTCCCTCCTTCTTCACCACTCCTCCCCCCAATACTCCTTCCCCTAACCCCCTATTATTCTTCCTTCACTTTTTAGATTCTCTGACTAGCTAGACATAATCTTCCTTTCTCTCTCTCCTTCCTTTTGGCTCTTGTACAAAAGGTCGTTTCTTAAAAGGTCGCTTTCTTAAAAGGTCGATTCCACAAAAGATCTACCAGGGTCAGAATCAGGGTTGTCGGATCAGAATATCCAGATCCAGAAAATCAATTCGGATATCGGGTCGAGATATACGGGGATGTCAAGGACCAGACAACCCTAGTCAGAAGATTGATTCCTTAAAAGGCCGACTCGGCCAAACTTTAAAGAATCGACGTTTTACCAATTTTGGTCGTGACGATCTTTAATAGACGACCTTTTGAACAGCAGACTTCCCACTTCCCAATGTTTTTCTCCTTTCATTTCCCCTTTCTTTCAAAATTTCTTTTCTTCCTCTTTTTTTTATTTTTTCCCCATTCCTTCATAGAGTATTTTCATTTCCCCCATTATTTTCATCTCCCCTTCATCCATTCAACATCTTAACTACCAAGCGGGTAAAGGAAAATATAGTACGTTGACAACCCTCCAACTTTCTCTTCTTCATCTTTTTTCTTTCTTTTCTTCCTCTATTCTTCTCTTCAATTGATTAGAAAAAAAAGAGAGTGTGCCAGCTATCCTAAAAATAATTTCTTTTTGGCCAAATACAAAAAAAAGAGAAAATAATAAATGTTGATGAAAGGGAGAGGAGGTTCTATGAAAAAAAAAATTAAAAACGTAAAAAATCCCCCTTTAACTCGCGCTTTCTAAAAAAATAAAAAAATTATTTAGAATGTTTATTTTATTATTAATATTTATGTTGAGTATAATTAGAGATGTAAATGACTTAATAATAAAAGATACCGTAAATGTTCCAATAAAAGCCCTGAACGTCTATTTTTCAATGGGTCGCATTGGGTGGGCTTCTAATGGGGCATGGGCTTCTATTGGAGCCGGGCTTCTATTAGAACATTTACGGTATATAAAAGCACATATGTAGGTAATATACAAATAATATATAGTATTTGGAACTCATTATAAGATAAACCTTCAAAATTCGTATATTATAGTGGGGTGTACCCTAAATAGTGTATATTCATTATTAAAGGATCCCCTTTATTGGAGGTTCCCCCACCCATCCAATGGCCAATTAAAATTTAAAAAACGTCTCTTAAATAGAGGTCTTCCAATTTATCCCCCATTTCAGAAGGGAGGGGGCTTCAGCTACCCCCTCCAGCTACGCCCTTGATATTGGGTGTAGCTTAGATAGAGGTGTATCTCATAGTGAGGTCTGACAGTAGAGTTAATTTCACCGGTTACTACAAATACTGACAAGTTTATCATCACTTTTTTCTTTTTTATTTAAGATTTTCTACTAGTCCCACCACCCCCACCTCCACAACGTCGAAAAGGAGATGCCAAAAATTCAATTAATGAGGTACAACATTTATAAATTGAAGTGAGCAAATTATTAAAAGATCCATAATAATTTGAAGTATTTAGATGCTTTACAAAAGTAAAACCATCAAAATAAGCATCCCCAATTTGGTAATAATTTGATATTGTTGCGTGATGGAAAAAACCGTTTTTTCGGTAAAAAGAGATTGCTGGGTGGTTATCACATAAAACATGAAGAAATATCATTTTGGGTAAAGGTTGTTGAACTAGAATTTTAATTAATTAAAATTATGTGTTAGATATTCTAGAAAATGTAAATAAGCATTCAGCTTCTTAAACAGCCGCGGACTCTGGAGCTTTAATTGTAAAGCTTTCCTCTTAAGATTTATGGAACTAGCACCCAAATCCGCAGCTATCCCACCCCAGCACAGACTATAATTTGTGGTAAATTGTAAAATTCAGAATTTAAATTAATTTCTATTGAGCTCGTCGAGATGAATAGAACTGTACAACTTCGATCTCCGAAATTTTAAATTAAGTGATAAATATATGGAGTAGCTCGTGGCTGACTGTTCGACTCCTACTTTAGAGACTAGAAAGAATAATAAAAATAATTTTTACTTGAATTAATAATGTTCATTAAATGTTTAAGTAAAATAGTTGCTAATCCTCTCCTTTTATAATTTTGTGTGACTGCCAAACTCAAAATATAAATAACATTTACTGTTGGGTCACTATGCAGGGATTTATCCTTGAAATAAAAAATTTTTTAATTTTTTATTTTTAAATTAAAAAAAAAGAAAAATCATTTCGAACCCATTTCCAGGAATAAATTTTCATGCGAATGGGGGTCGAAAGGGCGCAAAACCTAACACTTTCCCACTACACCAGAAACCAACTTATCAGGGATTATTTAAATTTTCACTTAAACCACTTAGGAATTAACTAAAATAAATTTAAAAAACACCTCCAAATCACAATCTCTAATTGTTGTATTTTCAGCAACCAAAAGGGAAGTTAAAATATTATTACTAGAAATAATTAAAAATTTTTTTAAAATATTTTCTCTCTTACTGATATAAACCAAAGCTTATATAACAACCATTTACAACATCCATATACCACTCGTTTGGATATTCTAGAGGAAATGCTTCTCTAAAATATTTATTTAAGTGTAAAAAGAAATTTTTTAATGAAAATTAAAAAATCAAAATGTTAAAAATATATAAATCTCATTGTAGTCGGATCGTAGTTTTATCAAAGTTTACCCAAAATTTTGGTACACCTTTATTTATGGTACATTTTTTAAAATTTGGTAGGCCACTGGGTTGGAGTGTGTTAAAAAATAATTAGAGTTCGAACCCGGCCCGTGCCCGGACCGGTTTTTTCCGGGCCCGGTGGCCCGAACCGGGTATTATTGAGAAAATCCGGTTTTTCCGGGCTAACCGGGTTTATCCGGAAAAACCGGCCCAGGTGCGATTTTGAGTAAAAAAAACCGGGTCCCGGGCCCGGTAATTTGAAAAGTTCGAACTCTAAAAATAATAATCGGTAACGAACGAGAGATACCTCTAATAATCGATAAACACGATTTTAGGCAGAATCATACCCACAAGAGTTTAGGCAAAAACCTAAAAAAGGTCAAAACCCACAAAATCACATTTAAAAAAATTTTTAACGTAGTACTTCCAACCCTACGACTTTAATCAAAATCAAAAATAAATTACCGACAAAGAGCACAAACATCCTGTAAATCCTCCAAAACAAATTCTCTAATATGCCAATAATCATTATTATTTTTATTTTCAATAATCTTCACAGTGTCCCCAATTGTCCATTTATTTGAATTAATTATTGACGTATCAGAAATCATTCTGTTTATTTGTACATTAAATTAATTTAATTTTTTGTTTAATTAAATAAAAGAAAACATTTTCGTGACGAAAAAATAAATTAAAAAAAAATAAATTTTTGTAAAATAACAATTAAAAAAATTTTTTTCTTTTAACAGAAACATTTTTTATGCAATTCTTAAACACCCAAGCGAAAAGAAAAAGAGAAAATAAAAAATAAATTTTTATAGATTTTTGGCTGATATATATATTAATTTATGTTATATCACTTTGAAGAAAAAACCAAATTTTTTAAAAATGATGCTTGAAATATTTTAAAAAATTTTGTAAGAGGGGGGGGGGGGACAGAAAGGACGGAAAGTTTAGGAGAAGGATGGAATGAGGATGAAAATCCTCTGCAAAAAATATCGCCAAGATCGAGCTGTTTAGGAAAAAAGAAAAATATTCGAGAATCGAATAGCCTTGAAAGATATTTTCAAACAACTTTGGTGTGGACCAGGGACCAGATCCGAAGCCAGGGAACAGATACGAAGACAATTTTTAAATTCTGATCCGATCCAAGAATTTTTCTTCACAAAACCCGATCCAAACTTCGACCCCACTTTTTTCTCGACTCGGCCCATTCCTGGTATAAATTCAAAAAAAGATTCCTCGTCAATATTTTGAGGATCCATAAAAATAATCCTCAAAATACTCCCCAAAATAATCCCCATTTACATAAACAATCAAGCACCATTTTTTAAAAAGAAGAAACAAAAAAATAACTAAAAGGACAGAAAATTTTTGACAAAAAATATTTAAAATTAAGCAGAGATTTGGAGAGAAAAAAAAAATAAATTTTAGGGTATTGTGGCAGAATAAAAACTTAATTTTGATATAAGTTCAATTGAGAGAGAAAAAATTATTTTTTAAATAAATAATAAAGCTCATTGCCTTTGCAGTACTAAATTAAATAGGTTGCCGTTTTCGGTTCGAGCCGACGTTTGGTGCATTTTTATCGAGCTTGGTTTTTTTCGATTCGGTTCGTTTTCAAGCTGAAAAGCCTCGGCTCGCTCGATCTTTTGAGTTTCGGTTCGAGCGAGCTGTCTACACTAAAATTAAATATAAAAAAATAATTTCATAAAAAATTAAGACCCTGAAAAATTTTTTTTCTTTTCAAGTACTGCAAAGTGACCAAATAATAAGCAAAAAAACACTAACTTTTCTTAAATATGTTTAGGTATTTTATTTTAAATTTTTTTTCGTTTAAATGGAGATCTGAAAAATAATGCATAATAATTCCATTGTTTTGAATAAAGAGAGAAAAGATATATAAACAAATAAAAAATTTTAAAAAATTTACAAAAAAATTATTTTAACCCCCAAAAAAATATTTTGAATAACATAAAAATTAATTTACAAGATGGAAAACTCGAAAATATATTATTTGTTTATATACCTTTAAAAATAGAGATCGGGCCCGGGACTCCATAACTGAATGCAAGGGCCATGCGTGGGGTCTTCTGGAGCTAAAGCCCCCCTCCCTGAAATGTGGAAAAGGAGGGTCAATTTCGGGGGGGGGGGGGGGGGGGGGCGCCAAAATTTAGGCATTTACTTTGGAGTTCAGGATCCCAATTTCAACGGATCCCAATTCCAAAAAAACTCGAAAAACACTCAGCACGGAATCCCGTTCCTGTGACAATCCCTACCAGCCAAGAATCTAACAATAAACAGAAAAGGAAAGTGAAAAGAAAAGAAAAAAAGAATTTTTTAAAAGTCAAAACCTCCAAATAATTTCCAAAAAAAACCTCCAAACTTTTCAATGACACAAATCCGAAGCAAAATTATCAATATTTTCTGGATCATTACTGCTAGTAGCCCCTCCACCATTTCCACAAGATTGACAAAAACAGCGACGTGGAGGAGAACATTTAATATTTGCAAATAACCAATGACCAAAAGCAGCTCCCAAAATTACAGCAAAAGTAAGCCAAACATTAAAGGTCATCTTTTAAGAAAAAAATTTTAAAAAAAATTAAAAAATAATTTTTTGTTAATAAAATTAAATTTTAAAGTAGGGTTGTTGGCGACCGGTTAATTTTTGCCTGTGGCGGGCAAATAAAAAAGAATAAGAGCATTTGAGCTACAGGCAAAGACTAACAGGTCGTGTGAACAACTCCACTTTAGAATAAGTAAACAAATCCTAGTAGAGGGCAGAGGTGAATCGGGAATGCCGAAGGTGCCGGGAATCAAGACTGTCGGAAATCGTTCAAAAGACGGAACTCGGAAATCAGTCCAAATTTTCGGAAATCGAAAGTCCGAATTCCAATTCACTCTGGTAGAGGGCCCATTAAAAATTGTTTAAAATTGTCTTATAAAAAACCGGGTCTCTTATCGAAAAGAAAAAGTGAGAAAAGCTTAGAAAGCCCAAAACAATTTCAAAAAAAATAAAATAATTTAACAGAAATTCCCAAAAGTAAAAAAATTCTTCCAATTTAACATATTTAAAAAATTTAATTAAACTCACAGCAATAAGCATTAACCAATATGCCCTAAAAATAAAAAATTAATTTTTATAGAAACCAAAAAAACATACAAAACAAGTTGAAAAGCATAAATACCAGTCTCAATCAATTGACAAGTGGACGGAGAAAAATTGCGATTAACATACATCATTATCCAACTAAAAATGGATGTTTTTTAAATAAATTGACAATCATTGGTAAGGGAGCAGGGAAGTCTAGCTTTGACACCAGGGGCGGGCGCATTGCGTTAAATTTTGGCCTTGCGTTGCGTTTTTAAAAATCCCACCCCTGTCCGACACTACGGACCTAGGTCTTCGGTAGAATACGATGATAAAAAAGCAAACATAAATTGGCTTTTTTAAAGTTTACCCAAAAATTTATTTTTAACTAAAATTTAAGAGGCCAGGAAAAGGTTTAGAAAGGTTTTAGGGGAGTAATAATTTAGGGAGTCATTCATTCAAAAATGCAAGAGTCATCAACTCAAAAGTTTAAAAATATTTCTCAAAAGCTATCCTAGAGTAAAATAAAAATTCGAATTTTTATTCCTCTTAAATATTATAGATCGAGATTTTCAACAAAACCTTGACTTTAGATGAGGACCTTGACCAGATCAAAAACCTTGAGTCAAGGAAAAACAGAGGTAGGGAAAAATCGACGAAAGTTGGAAAATGTCTTGATCTGGACTCCAGATTCAGAAAAAAGTAAAGGTCAGGATCCAGCTCATCTCTACTAAATATTAATTAAAAATAATTTTTTGGGGAAAAACTTTGAACTATTTTTGATCCCTTTCAAAAATCTTTTTCAAGTATTTCAAAAGAATTTCCTTTAAAGAATTCACTCTCCCAAAAGAATCACTCAAATTAAAATTAAATTAAAACTAACGTCCAACGATTAATTTGCATACTGCTAGTACAAACTTGTGGAGCAGAAATAACGACTGTTGGTGCATAAACTTCTCTATTTAGAGTATTCGAATTTCCACAATTTTCAGAACATCCACTCGAAGACGCAAAAGTTTTGTTATTGTTTTTAATTAAAGAATGATCCTCTGATCCATTAAAATTTTTTCCTTCAACTTTTCGAGAGACTGAATTTAGAGACAAAAAATCGGAAGATTTGGATCTTTCACAGGTCTGAAAATTTTTTTTAAAATTTTTAGGCCAAAAAAAATTAAAATAAACCCAAAGTTGAAAGTAAACTCTAAACCATTTCAAGCCTTCATATGCAGCTCCCATTAGGAAAATTAGAATAAATGAAGTGAAGAGACCTTAAAATAAGAAAATTATTGTGATAGTATTGGGGTCAAGAAAATTAGAAAAAAATTTTAAATTTGAAAAAATTGTCGAAGGGATGTATTTTATTGATTTTATTCCGTCATTAAATTCGTGTGAGTCAAACTCTAGGGCAATTGTAAAAATAGAGCAATTGTAAAGATTGGAAGAGAATTGCGGACTTTCCGTACTGTCATATTTTTTGCATAGGCGTAGCCAGGGGTTGATTTCAGGGGGTCTAAAATGGGTGTGCGACAAAATTTTGGCGAATTATTTTGGCGGTTTGAACTCAAATTGGTAATTCTTCGGTTTGTATACCCTCCTCTATGTGCCCCCCTTTTTTCCTTACCATTTTTTCATTTTTCCTCCCCTGTCTCCCTTAATTTTCATGAGGCAAGTATCAAAAAGGATTACGAGCAAAAGATAAGTGTAATATCTTCTTTAACTCCAAATGTGTTCTTTAAATAACAAATGTACTAGTAGCACCTCATGAAAAATAAGGGAGAAAGGGGAGGAAAGATGAAAAAATGGTAAGGAAAAAGGGGGGCCACAAAGAGGAGGGTATACAAACCGAAGAATTACCCTCAAATTTTACTGTACATAATTATTAATTTTTCAGGCTTCAGTTGAAAATTTTGAGAATTTTGAAGGTCGTTCCCCTTTTCCTATTTCAGGATGGTTGGGGAGGGGGGGGGGGTTATAGCTCGAAAAGACGCCCTGATTAAGTCTGTTCCTAATAATAAAGAAAATATAAAAAAAAATACCCAAAGTAGAATTAATACGCCAAAAATCAAAGAGAACAATTTCATCAAAACCCCCATGGAAATACATTTTCATATTGTGATCAGAAGAAGAATGTTCATGTAATGCTAAAAATTTATAGAAAATAAATAAAATTAAAAAAAACTTTGAACAATTGAAGTCTTTTCTGTACTTGTTATAATATTATTAATTGAATCATTTGGCAAAGATGAATGGTGGTCGTGATGGGCGTGGTGAGAATGGTCCATTTTTTTAAATTTTTAAAAATTTTTTTACCTAAAATTTATTGAGAAAATTTAAGAGAAAATGTCCTAAACAGTCTAAATTTTAGACCGGCGCGGGACGGGATCCCGACGGGATTTTCCGGGATCCCGAAATCCCGGATTTTTTTGATTTTCGGGATCAAACGGGATCCGGGATTTTTTCGGGATTTATCCCTCGGGATCCCGTCCCGGCATCAGTCAAGAAAAAAATCCCGACTCGGGATCCCGGAAGTGCGATTTTGCCGGTCTCTAGTCTAAAATAAGGTTGTCAGTTCTAGACTGAACCGATGATTTTTCGGTTCGAATATCGGTTCGATTCCGGATATCCGAGAATTTCGGTTCGGGGTGCTCGGTTCGGTTCTTCGGTTCGGTTCCGGATATCCGAAGATTTTCCAAGAACCAACAACCCTAGTCTAAAAGCAAAAAAAGATTTCTTCTAACTTTCCAAGAAAAAAAAGCAAAATTCTCTCGACTCTAATGTTCCTCTTGAAAATAAAAACACAATGCCAAAAAAATTTAAGGCGAAATTTGTTAAGACAAAAAGGTACGTGCCCATTTCGTCTGCCGCTACATTCACATTTCTGCCGGATAAATTATGAAAATTTTTATTTTTCGAATAACGTGTGCTTTTTTTATTATCAAAATTAAGTGTTAAAGATGACGAGGATAATGTACATATTATAAGAGAACGGACTGGGAGTGTCGTACGAGTCTCGAAAAATCTCGAGGACTCAAAAATTTTTCGTGCGAGAATCGGTGTCTCGAAAATCTCATCTCGATAATCAAAATTTTCGATCGAGATCTCGTCTTGGTCCGATCTCTAAATACTATATTATATTCTAGTGGTTAAATCGCACAAATTAAATCAATCCGCACACACGGTCGAACCTCAATTTAAGATACCAATTTTTAAAATTAGGGTTCAAATGACTTGGGCGGCCTCTATGGTTTCTCAAATTTCAGTCTGTATCTTGGTCAAGTCAATCAAAAATATGTAGAACACATTGAACTGTGTCGAATGACACCAAAAAAAGTCGGATTTTTTGATTTTGTGTCATTCGACGCAGCTCGGTGCGTTCTACATTCTTTTGCCAGACTGACCATTTTTTACATATTTATAGAAAAAATTGACTGGGGTGGGGGGAGTAAATAAGTACTCCCTATTTAGGACACACCGATTTTTCAGCTCTAAGGGGTATCTAAAAATGATGTTCGATTGTATTTCAATCATAATCACTACATATTCTTCATTCTTCACTTTCTAAAGCTTCCGAAATTGCCTCAACACATTGTGTAGCATTTTTTATATCAATACACATTGGAGGTTTTATTCTCAAAACGTTCCCGTTCAGACCTCCCTTGCCTAAAAGAACACCTTTTTCTTTGATTTTTTCAAATATTCTAGCCATTTTTTCTTTTGATAATTTCTTCTGTTGATTTTTATTTTCGACAAGTTCCACTCCAATCATTAACCCTTTGCCTCTAATATCGCCAATAAAGGGGGATTTAATTTTTGAAAGTTCTTCAAGCATAAATGTGCCTATTTTGTCTGCATTTTGTTGCAGCTTTTCTTCTTCAATTACCTAAAGAAAACTTTTCTGTATGTTTAAATACTATTCTGAAATAGAATTATAATTTTTCAGAATTTTATCCTACGTCTTTATAGCAAAAAATAAATCAGAATTTCTTATTTTCACCCCAGCAATTTCAGAATTATTTTTAAGTGCTACAATAATTCTGATTTTTAATTCATTCTGATTTTTAATAATTCTGATATTTAATAATTCTGATTTTTAATAATTCTGATTTCTAATAATTCTGATTTTTAATAATTCTGATTTTTAATTTCTGATTTTAATTCTGATTCTAATTCTGACTTTTAATAATTCTGATTTTTAATTCATTCTGATTTTTAATAATTCTGACTTTTAATAATTCTGATTTGTATTTTTTAAATTATTCTGTTTTCTGGTTTCTTTTCTCGTTAATTCTGATTTCTACTTTCCAAATTAGGTATTCTGGTTTTCTCAGTAATTCTGATTTTATTTTTACTATTTTTCTGATTTCTATTTCTTAAATTTACAGAATTTTCATTATTTAAAAAATCAGAATTTTTTAAATTAAATACTTCTATAACAGCCTTTGCAACAGTACAAGCTAACGGATTCCCACCATAAGTATTAAAATACAAAGCTTTTCCAAGGGAGTTGGCAATTTCTTTGCTTGTAATAACAGCACCCATAGGAAAACCATTTGCTATTCCTTTTGCCATTGTTACAATATCTGGTTTTGCTTCTTGAGATTCAAAACCCCAAAAATGAGAGCCTAGTCGACCTAGACCAGTTTGAACTTCATCGCTTATTGTTAGACCGCCACAGGAGTGGATAGTGCTGAAGGCTGCTTGAAGATAATTTTTGGGGTATTGTACTGTTCCGCCGATTCCCTATTAACGAAAAAGTGTCAATTATTTATAGAACCGTGTCTCTTTTTTCATCCCATGACTCTGCCTTCCCCGAAAATTTTCCATAGGGCCCTTCTTCTCCTATGGCGGAGTATCTGATTTTAGGATATAACGCTTCACACCTGGATTGATTCAACAATGAAAGCAGCCGGTCCGCTGCTTTGAGGGAAGTCATGATCCAGACAGTCACGCAATTCTGCCATATGTGAATCAAACGCAATACATTTTCCTTCAAAATTACAAAATTTTAAAGTAGTTTTCCATCTCCCACCATTTTCACATTTGCAACCATTTTTTGATTCAGCAGGAGAGTCTCTACACTTTCCAACACCCCACGGCCCTCGAGCATCTGGACATTTTATTTTAATGATACCAAAGCCAGAAGGGAATGGCTGTTTCCAATTTCCAAGATTAGTAGCACCCAGAATTGCCTAGAATACTTGACGGATTTTTGCCTTCGAAGGACAAAAACTCTACTTGAGTTCCTCCATGATAAGCACCTCGAAGACTTAGCACATCAAATCTATTAGTGTGCAGCCTAGCTAGTGCTAAAGCCAAGTCATTAGCTTCAGACCCAGAGTTTACAAAAAAGCAAGTATTCAAATGTGGAGGCAATTTTTTGGTTAAAGTCTCTGCATATTCAACAATAGGGTCTGTTCGGTAAATGGATGAAGTATGCCAGAGTTGGTCTATTTGTTTCTTTAAGGCATCGTTGACTTTTCTGTTAATTTAATAAAAAAGTTAGATTATACAAATCTAAAAATTGTTTCATAATACAGTTCGACCTCATTAAAAGGTGTATTTCTATTTTAACTAGGGTAGAAACCAGACCCTTCGGAGCCGGGTATGTCGGGGATCGGGGTTTGCCGGGGAGGGCATGTCCGGGTTCAGGGTCGGGGTTGACTTTTCGGTTAGGGTACGGGATTCGGGGGTCGGAATCCAGTACCCTAATCGGCAACTTCTTCCCTCAAGTGTCGCCAACTAAAAGTTTAAAGAACGTATCTTACTTATAAGACAACGAGATCTCGAGCAAAAATCTCAGTTATCGTGATCGACATTCTTCAAGATATTCGATTTTAGTATGAATAGCCCAGTCCAGTTTCTATTATTTATTGTTAGGTGTATCTTATAATGAGGTTTATCTGTAAAACTTACGGATGGCAGTGACCCACAGATACAGTAACAATCCCTCCAATCATATCAAGATATTTGTTTCCTTTAGAATCCCACAGGTATTGCATCTTTCCACGAACAATATGTAAAGGTTGTTTGTAATAAGTAAGAGTTGAGGGATTTAAATGGTTGAGCCAGTGTTTTGACATTTTTATGGTTCTGGAGTTTACAAGATTTTCTTACGAATTTAATTTTTAATATTTAATTACCTATTAACACTATATTTAGAGTAGAAAATAAAATGATGGTAAAGATAAGTAAATAAGTGTTTTTCCTTTATTAATTGATTGTTGTTTAATGACCTTCTACTAGAAAGGACTATAAAGTGGTTGTAAAAATAGTAAGGAACGTTTTACTTTTTGTAAAAAAATTTCTTTGTAAGAAGACATCGACCCATTTTGAGCGATTTTTATTGTTTAACTTAAGCCGTTGAAAGCTGAAGCCGTTGAAAAAAACTTAAGCCGTTGAAAGACTTTTGAAATTTTCTTTCTAATTGAAAAATGATTTAGAAAAATTGAGTTTGAGGGCTCAGACTCTGATAAAGATGACTCTTATGTCGTTAGAAAGAGCTCATCGAGTTGAATAGAATGACTCCAAAATCTCCGTGATCCAACAAGTTTGGACATTGTTACCAGGGGCGGGCGCATTGCGTTTTGCGTTATTTGCGTTAAATTTTGGCCTTGCGTTGCGTTTTGCGTAAATTTGGCCTAAATTAACGCAAAAAAACGCAAGAAATATACCCAATCTGAGGGCAAAAATTGGAAGAAATCTGGCTTAAGGACCTCCAAAATTATCAAAATTTTCGCCTGCGGCGCAGAAAAAGGAAGAAATATGGCTTATGGACCTTCAAAATTCTCAAAATTTTCGCCTCCGGCGGTAAAAAAAGAAAGAAATCAAGCAACTTGGCCTTCAAAAATTTCGAAATTCGAGCCTGCGGCGCTCAAAGTAGAGCTCAGATCTTCCAGTATCCCGCCAAATACCCTCATATCCCCGGTATCAATTTAAATGCACACATATCCCTTTATTCCTCCATCTCCCCAATTCACCCATGGTATTTCTTATACTCTTATATCCTTCATAATTCCCTTGTATCCCCGATATTACTCAAATCCTCATCCATCCAAACACTTTTATATATCACAAAAGAAAGTAGGACTGCTGACACTTATTTGTTAGTGATACTTCAATTTTTAATTGGAAAATGGCTGATACATATTTGATTAAAAAATTTTTTTCCATTTTTGCGCTCTTGCGTTTTGCGTTTTGCGTTGATTTTTGGCTTTGCGTTGCGTTTTACGTTTTTGGAAATTGTCTCTTGCGCCCGCCCCTGATTGTTACGATACAAAAATAGACCAAGTAAACCTTTTGGTATAGGCGAATGCTTGTGCAAGGATTTAAAGGGACTTTTTTGGCGGATTAATAGAATTTATTATTCGCTTCAAGACTGACTTCAAATTGGATTTTTACATTTTTCCGATCTTTAGGCTCTAAAGTTAAATAAATATTGAAATAAAGATGAGGCCGCTCTATTGGAGACCGCCGTTCAAATGGAGGCGCCGCTCAATTAGAGGTAATTATTAATTAATTGTAAAGAAATATGCTCTCCCCTTTCTCTTTCTCTATTCCCTTTAATTAACAAATAATTTCGAAATTTATCATTTGACTAAATAGGGAGCGTAAAAAATGTGGCATTAGACAGCTTTACTTTATTTTTGACTAAAATTTTTTCTTTTAATTTTTATATAAACTCGGAGAGGGCCAATTAAGCACCGTAAAAGATAACCGTTTAAACCTCTGTAAATTATTAGATGCTGATAAATAAATTAGCCTTATTTATTGGCTTTACCCTTTTATTTTATTTAAAAGCTACAAACGATTATAGAGAGGATTCTGCTAATTGTAATATTTTAAATATTAAAAAAAATTAAAAAAATTTTAATTATTCAAGCTTATATGAGAGAAGGGGGAGCTGAAGAATATTGTGATAATTCTAATTTGAGTTCATCAGAGGAAGACTTGATGGAAAATGGAAACCCCTCGACTTCCATGACCGTAAACGTTATTAAATAATATTTACAGCCAATTTTATTCATTAAAAGGCCAAATAAATTTATAAACTTGACCACCGTTGATGTCTTACACTCTCTACTTCTTTCGCACGAAACCTCGAAAACTTAAAACGATATTTCTGCCAAAATATATTTAGACCAGAGAGCCGTCCCAATTTCCGAAATCGTAAATTTATTTTTTTCATGTTGGTAGGATCCCTGATCTGGAACTCAGTCGGATTTTGCAACTTTAGGAAGACCCGTCCATCGAAAAATTCGGGTAATTTTTCAGAGAAAGTGTTAAGCATATAGCTATTAATTTCCTAAGGGCATGCAGTAGGCGGCGTGGTGTAAATGATAACACATCAGTCCGGTTTACGGTAAACCGTGATTTCTTCAAAGTTCCAGAATTAACGCCTCTAAAAGCCCTGAACTTTAGGAAAACCCGTCCATCGAAAAATTTATAAATTTATTAAAAGGCTAAAAAGAAGCGTCTTTGTAAAATTAAAGAAGAAATGAATATTGAAGGGTATTTTTTAAATTTTTAAATAAAAAAATATCACCTTTTAGTGAACTCCAAATTAATAGAGAAAAGAATATTAACAAAAATAATGTAACTGAACGTAGAAAAAACATTATAAAAAATTTGTATCAACGCCAAAGAATTTTATTTGGTGATGAAATGCCAAAAAGAGAGCATTATTTGAGTTATAAAATGCAAGATAAAATTCTCGAATATTACAAGACAGAGAACCATAACTTTGAAGAAGTGTCAGAAATTTTTAAAAATAATCGAAATGAAATGGAAAAAGAAGATTTGGTAATTATTTTCGATTAATTTGATTAGGATAGCAACCCGACTCTTCGGGCGCGGCTGTGTCGGGGATCTGGGTTTACCGGGGAAGGCATGTCGGGGCTCGGACCGGGGTTGATTTTTGGGTCGGGGTTCGTGTCAGAGTTTTTGCTGAAAAATCCGCGGGGTTGGGGCTTTCGGGGTCGGGTTGCTACCCTAATTTGAATAATTGCCGGAAAATTTTGTATGAAAATATTTGAGTAATTTTTAATTACTCTTTTTTTATCAAAGGGTACACAACGGTCAAAAATTTTCTTTAAAATGTGTCGTCCCTAACATATCTTACATTTTCCATGTCGATTTCTAATCCTTCTTTGAAATCGAGGAGTCCGGTCTACTGAAGATGCTGGTTCGCACCCAGCTGCCGAATAACCTTTTGCACTAGCTATAGGAGAGATATAGGTATAGCCCAGCTGCTTTACTTAAGTGAGGGGTGATTAACAGAAAAAGTATTTTTAGGAAAAGTTTTATAACGGAATATGCGTTCTATATTTATATGGAAATATAAGGCCACGTTATATAGAGGAACAAATTAATGGGAAAGGTTTACTAATTGTAGCAAAACTCCATGAAAGAAAAGTCCGTTTATTTGAACAGGATTTATTTAAAGAGGGTGAAGATTTGAAAAATAAAAGGCTAAAAGCAAAGACCAAGGACATTGATAAGTTTGTAATTTGCACTTATATTGAGAGGTTTGGTGGAAAATTAAGAGCTTTGGTAAAAATATGCAAAAAAATCCCAAAATTTTGGTAAAAATGCAGATAAAAGGGGACGGGGTGTTGATCAGTAGGGAATAGCTAGTGGGAAGACAACGGCACTGTAGTTAATAATAGGCTATAATATCCCCTTTTCAACGATGCAGGCAATAATTTTGAGAATTTTGGTTGTCAAGTGGTTTCCTAAAATTTATGAAAAATCTCAAAATTTTGGTAAAAATATGCAAAAATATTGAAATAAATTGAAATGTAACTTCATTCAAAATCATAATATCGAAAAACTAATTGCATATTTGGGCTTCTCTCGCCATAATATATTCAGGAAAAAAAATATTTCAATACAAATCCGAGCCCTACTGATCAGTGACTTTTGTTGGCGTCTTAGATAATTAATAATTAAATCTTAATAACTTATAGCAATGCAATATTGTCAGAAATTAAAAACAAATTAAAAGGAAAAGGCAACGAAAAATGTGGAGAAAAAATAGAAATAAATGGAATAATTAATTAAACAGATCCGAGAAAAGGAAAGAAATTTTACAAAAAAATTTTAAATTTTGTAACGGAAATTTACGGAAAAACAGATTATTTGGAAGTAGTTTATAACAATTTAAATTCCCAAAAGTTGGAAATAATTGAAAATGAATTTGTTGAATTTAAAATATTTATGGATAGACTTAGGTCAATTCTCTTTGATTTAGAGGAGGAATTAAAATGGAGTTTCCGAAGTATATTTTTATTTTTCAAAATTTTTTATTATTAATTTTGAGAATTTTGGAGTCAAAAAATGACCATAGCGAAATGACCAAAAAATGACCATTTAATGCCGCAGGCAAAAAATTTCCCGATTTCTCAAATTCCCCGACCTTCGGGTACAGTGACAACCCTATAAGAGCTTCGTCCCTATACAACATATGAAAACATATGAATATCTACATAATTCCACTTCGGTTGACTTCGAGCTTTACCGATTAGATGAGCACAGACATCTACAGAAATGTCTATCGTTTACTAGGATGGACAATAATAACACAAAGATTGGCGTTTATACTCTACAACGCAATTTATACCGTATTTATATCAACCTTCCTCTAGGGAGTCGGTTTATTAGAAGGGGTCAGTCTAATAAAGAGAGTCGCACTATAAGAAAAATACAGTAGCTAAGGTTGGTTCCGTTATTCAGAAAAAGGCTGGTCAGATGTATGCAGGGATGTATGCAGGGAAAGAGCTGTGAGTCATAGCGTTTGGCGTTTTGCTTTTGGCGTGTTTTTAAAATTTGAAAAGTTGGCGTTTGGCGCGCCACGCGAAAATTTTGGCGCACAGCCCTGCCAGGGAACTAACCATTTATTCTTATTTTCTTAAATTACCTAGAATATGTAAATAATTTTAAATAATTTAAATAATTAAATTTTAGTAAAAGACAAAATTTACGCTAAACGAATTTGTGATTTACTTTTATTCCGTGCCATTCTAGAATTTTCAAAATCGATGGTCTTTAACGAAAAATACAAGGCCTTTTTGGATGTAGAAGATGAAGATAAGGAGATTGTGCTTAGTTTAATTCAAAATTTTCAAAAAACTGTAAAGACGCCTCGCGTATTTTTTACTTTGAAACTTTCAAAAATTGAAAGTCAAGAAAAAACAAATAAATTAATTAACGCTAAAATTTCAAAATTTATGGATGACTATATTGAAGGAAATTTAAAGGTTGTTATTAAAGGGGTGAAAGCAAACAAGAATAAAGACCAAGAAATTTATGAAGGCATAATGAATTTGGGGTGGAATGTTAAAATTCAATTGAAAATGAAAACAAAAATTTTTTGGAAGCAGTTTATGAAGACGGAAATTTCCATTTATTATTTAATTTGGATGAAGCTAAAGATGAGGGAAATGGGGAATATATGGAAAAGTTTATGAATGAATTTAGGGAAAGAATTAATGGATTTCGTGTGGATTTAATTGAGAGTTTTGAAAGTAAATTTTTATTATTTTTGGGAAGTAAATTTTATTATTCTCCTTAATCCCCCCAACATCCTCCTTAATAACTCTATGTCCCATTAATCACTCGATATCTCTCGATGTCCCTAATATTCGCTCAAATCCTTCGATGTCCTTTTTAAACCCCTCAATAATATCTCCGGTTCTTGATTTCGGATTGAACTTCCTTTTATGCATCATAATTTGCCTTTATACAATTATATATATTTGTTTTTAAAGTGAAAATTTTTTATTTCCGAAAAAATTTTATTTCCGACTTCCGAGTTCCGGTGTTTTTTTCCTTCCGATTTCCGAAAAAAATTTTGATTTCCGATTTCCGACTTTTGAGCCAGTTCCGATTTCCGGCTCTTCCGATTTTCGACACCTCTGACTGTTCCGACCCTCCTCTGGTTGTAATATGTATATGTATTTTTGTAAAATTTAGCTCAAAACAATATTTATGTGAAAAATCGTGAGAAATCTGCGGAGGAGATATCTAATCTTCTTTTCTTTGTTACAACCCTAAAATTTATCAAATTAATTATTTCAAATAAAGAAAAATTAAAAAATAAAATTTTTGTAAAAAAAGGAGATGGAATAATTGTAAATTATTTAATTGAAGAATTTGGAAGGAAATATATGGCAAATCCAAAAAAATTTTTTAATTTAGAATTTAAATTTTTTAATTTAAAAAAACCACCCGGAAAAGAAAAAGAAGTGGAATTATTAAAGGGAGAAATTGAGGAAGAAGTGCAAAATCTTTTAAAGGAAAAAATTTTTAATTTTGAGGGGGGCATACACTCTGTTTCAAAATTATAGAGCCACTAAATTTTTTGTGATAACTCGATGAAAATCAATTGAATTTTCTTGAAATTTTGCCATAATGTTTAAACAAACAATATTCATCTATCTGCAAAAAATAAATCACATCCAGTTTCTACAAAAAATTTTATTCCAAAAATTTAAATTTATAAGTGTTTCATAATTATAGAGCCACTTCGAAATTTCGAGTTTCTAACATTAAGAAAATTCTACAAAAATTTCAGCTAACATTTTTATCGATTCTAAGAAAAAATAAAAAAGAATTAGACCCATATTTTACTTCAGTGTCGAGATCCAGATACCTCGAAAATCAACGTAAATCGGGGGTAAGGCTATTTAAAAAATATTTTCGACCCCTTATAGTTTGTTTTAAATTTTTAATTTGGGCTCATTCAAAAGCCCGTAAAATTTGCTACAAGATAGCAAAACCTTTATTTTCCAGAAAAATTATTTCAGCAAGTTATTAAGTTTTAAATTTCTAGGGCACAAAAAACGCCCAAATGCCCCATAAAATTATCTCCGGAAGATTAACGTCCTGTATATCTCTTTTGAATTTTTTCTGAGATATATGAGTATTACTTTCTTGTAGCAAATTTTACGGGCTTTTGAATGAGCCCAAATTAAAAATTTAAAACAAACTATAAGGGGTCGAAAATATTTTTTAAATAGCCTTACCCCCGATTTACGTTGATTTTCGAGGTATCTGGATCTCGACACTGAAGTAAAATATGGGTCTAATTCTTTTTTATTTTTTCTTAGAATCGATAAAAATGTTAGCTGAAATTTTTGTAGAATTTTCTTAATGTTAGAAACTCGAAATTTCGAAGTGGCTCTATAATTATGAAACACTTATAAATTTAAATTTTTGGAATAAAATTTTTTGTAGAAACTGGATGTGATTTATTTTTTGCAGATAGATGAATATTGTTTATTTAAACATTATGGCAAAATTTCAAGAAAATTCAATTGATTTTCATCGAGTTATCACAAAAAATTTAGTGGCTCTATAATTTTGAAACAGAGTGTAGAAGGAAAAATGGGAGAATTTATTTATCAATTAATCACTAAAAAGAGAAAATTGAACAATATGTATAGAAGAAAATGAGTTAATTTTTAAGCTAAAAATTATTCCGATTAAATTTTTAAATTTAAATTTTGAAAAGAATTTTGGCTCTTGTCTAGTTTATGCGTCCAATGTGTTGGGTATTTGCTTAGAAGTGATGTTCGAGAGTTAAAAAAGCCGAAAGTCGAGACCGAGAATCAACCCCGAGACCAAGACCAAACCGAGAGTCGAGACCGAGACCAAATCGAGAGTCGAGACCGAGAGTCAAGACCGAGAGATTACGAGGGATATCACTTGTTATCCCTCTTAATCCCCAAAAATCCCTTGATATCCCTCCTAATCCCCAAAATCCCTTGAATCCCCAAGTCTACAATATATATCCACTGATATTCACATTAATCTCTTATAATCCTCGATTCGAGAGTCGAGATTTTCCTCGACTCGAGAGTCGGATTTTTTGACTCGAGAGTCGAGACCGAGAGTTTCGAACATCACTAGTGCTTATTAGTATAGAAGACTGAGGCTTTAGCCATTCGGGTGTTTTTAGCCATTCATCCGAATGGCTTTAGCCATTCGGGTGAAGACTGAGGCTTTAGCCGGAGTTGCGTCCTAATGACGAATTACGGCGTTTTTTGAGTTACGAATTACGATTACGAAAATATCGGGAAAAATTACGAATTACGAAAATAAAAATTACGAAAAAATATGATTGCAAAAAAACTCTCGTACCTTGTCATTAAATTTCTGACGGAAAAGGATAGTGGTGTACGAAACTGGACAAGAGTCAAATATATTTTAGCAGAAACAATGTGTATCACATTAAATGTTTCAAAAATAATTTTTTCAATGTTTTGCAGTATAAAATTTATTATAAGCCCTATAATAGTCTAAAAATTAATCTTTCCTTCATTGTCAATCATAGAAATTATTTTTTAACTTGTCGACCTTGCTGTTGTCAGAAGGTTCTTTTTTGAATAGAGCCCTTCAATGGGGGGGGGGGTCTCTCCCATCCGATGAACTTCTCCACAGCATTCTAACATTTAATACTAGCACAAATCTCAGTAAATTTCTATTTCTAACAACACCATCTTGTCTGGCGATTTCGCAATATTTTTTTAGAAAAAGCCGAGAAAGTCGCAAGCATCTTGGCTGTCATTAATTGATTAATATATTTACCTATTTCATAATTATGTATATTAAGGCAGTCATTTAGCCCTTATTTATTTTTTATATATTTTATATTACATAAATTTATTTTTAATTTTTTATTGCTTGACGGAGCGTTGATTTTAAAAATTCTAGTCGATATTAAACGATTTTCGACATGACTTTTTGGCGATTTTTTAGGCAATCTTTTTCCAGCTGGATGGATCATGTCTGATCACCCATTAAAAAGTTACAAGTCGATAAGTGCAAGAAATCGTTGTTTTTCACACTTATCGACCTGTAACTTTTTAGTGGGTATCAGTCAAAAACCATCCAGTTGGAAAAAATAGCGCCTATCTAGGGCTTTCAAATCGCCTAAGATTCATTCAAATTTTTTCAATTATAAAAAAGTTATAGCCGATCAAAGTCCGGCCCGCCCCATAGTCCATTATAGTATAAAAGGGCAACATTTTACTTTGCACGTGAATATATGCACTTGTTTAATTAAGTAATATGTTGACAACAAAATTATTTATATTTATTATTTATTTTATCTTTCTTCTGTTTTCCTTGTCAACTACAAACGATGAAGAATCTTGTGGAGAAAGTTCTACTCGTAAAATACTTAATATAAATTTTTTAATTAAAATTTTAATATTTTAAAGCTTTTCTAGAAGAGGAATATTACTTATCTGACGACATTTATGACCTTGAAAATGAAGTGAAAGTAAGGAATATTAAGTAGTATAAGGGAGAAAACTCAAAAGCCATGAAAAATTTTTAGTTTCAGGCCCTATCCCAGACAAAAAATTTTTCCGGCAAATCTCTAGTAATTAAATGAGTCTTAAATTGGGAATATCTTTTAGACAGCTTTCCTCATCCAGTGGCCATCTGAATTTTAAACAAATATCTTAAATAGGTTTGTCGGATCCGGATCCTAAAGTCCGAAAATTTCAGGTTCGGATATCGGATCTGGATATTTGTGGGGATTTCCGAAGATCCGCCAACAACAAGCTTAAATGTATCTAGTTATGCGCGTATTTAGAAATGAGGTCTGATTTTTATTATTCCAGGAATTGAACGGACGAGTGCATTTTGATCCAAAAGGTGGAAAAAATTTTTTCAATAAAACTTTGAATATGGCAAGAGAAATTAATAAAACAATTAAAGAACACAAATTAAATTACTTACACTCAGTTGTAGCTAACGGAAATTTCCATTTATTATTTAATTCTGAAGTAAAAATATTAAAAGGCACAAACCAACAAAATACTATACAAATATTTATGACTAAATTTCGTAGAATTCTTTTGAATTTTCGTTTAGAATTAATTGAGAGTTATAAAGGTAGTATATTTTTATTGTCATTTGTCTTGTTTATTTGTTTACTCAGCCTTTGTTTTTAATTTTGGGAACGGATATTTATTAGAGGGGCATCTCATCGAGCTAAAATGATTGATACTGAAATTAATAAGCGCCAGAAAGCGCCTATACCCTTATCTAATCATGGTTGCTGGTTCGTAATTTAATCGAAGAAACAGGGATTTTTCGGTTCGGTTTTAGATATCCAATGGTTTTAGACAGCCCTGATTAGTTAGGCACGGATTTCTACCATTGTTATTTTTCCCAACTTCTAATAGCTAGGGAGACTGTTTGTAATAGTTCGAGAAACTATATAACTACATAAAATAACATTCAAATGGAGAGACAAACTCGCCCTTACTTGTCTTTGCTCTCCACTTTTCCCATTATCTTTTCTGTCGCAAGATGCAAGGTTATTTTTATGGAAGCAATATTCCATGCGTTCTTTTTCTAATAAATTTTTTTCTAGAAATTCCTTCTCAAATGCTAACCGAAATTTGTGAAATGCTTTTCTTCCGTGCAATTCTCGAATTTTTAAATTCAATAATTTTAAACAAAAAATATAAAGAATTTTTAAAAATAGAAGAGAAAGATAAAGAAATTGTGAAATATTTAATTGATGAATTTGATTTTTATGCGAAATTTCCTGAAATATTTTATTCTATAGACAAAAAAGTAAAATTCGGAGAAATTGGAAAACTTGGAGAGGTATTACGTGAAAAAATTAAAAAGTTTCATGAAGATTATATTAAAAATAAATTAATTGGTTTTATTGATCATTTAGTGAACTAAATGAAGAAATTTGAGGGAATTCTAAGGAGGAAAATTGGGGAAATGTGAGGAGAAATGGGTGAGATTCTGAGGAAAAATGGCTGAGAATCTGAGGAAAGACGGGGAAAATCTGAGGAGGAAAACACATTTGAGAGAAAAAATTTTCTAAGGCTTATACCAAGGATGGCATCCTTCCAACCTGGGCGGGCGAAAGACAATCTCCAAAAATTGCGCCCGCCCTTGCTTCTGACTTCCCCAACTTAAATACGTTTTTTGGCTCCACAGCTGTCCCCTAGTTTTTATTTTCTTCCGCCTTCTCTCTTCCGTCTTTAAAATGTGGAAAGCCCGTCTTTGGTATATAAGTTGATTGCCTATCTTTTAAGAGAGAAATTTATGTCAATTTATTCGACAGTCATTTTTTACTTTATACTATTTTTATTTATGTATTTTCATTTACACAAACTTTGAACTAAAAAATTTATGAAAAATTTTTTGCCAATTTTTATTAAAATGCGGTAATTAATAATTGTTTATTTTCATAGAAAAAAGCTAAAAATCCGAAAAGAACTGAAAATATTTTTTATCTATTGGGTAGATCTAAAATAAATTTATTTTTTAGTATAAAAAAGTTGTTTTGATTTATTTACACATTAAAATAAGAAAAAGATTGGAAGTTGTTGCTATGTTTGTTGGAAAAGTTTTTAATAAAAACATTACGTTAAATTATAATTAAAAATTATCAAAACTTTTTTTAAAAACACTTCAACCCTCAAATTTATTAAAAAATATCAAAATTCATTTCATTTAAATAGGGGATATCTTGCATACCAATGGTCAACCAAATTTTAAAAAATTGACTAAAATAGAGATATATCTAATAGTGGGTATTAGAGATGGAGCTGGGCCTGGGTTTTTCATTACCCGGGGTCCAGGCCCAGGCATTTTTTGACCTTTATGGGTTTCTCCTGGACCTGGGTTACTCCTGGACTACAGGCTTTTCAAAAATCTTTATCTATAGTGGGTATATCTTAAAGATAAGTCCAACACTAATTTATTTTTCATTCGCAAAAAAAAGAAATAATAACGGCTTTTTCAAAATTTTTTAAAAGTATTCTTTTGATTCCCAATTCTTTTCAAATTTATTTTTCCTTAATTTTTTCTTTAAAAAATCTGCCATATTTTCTGTTCAAAAATAAAATTAAAAAATAATAAAAGATCCCTTTTATTAAAAAAATTTTTTGCTTTTCTTTATTTTTAAATATTGTTTAATCGGTGCTTTATGTTGTAAATTATTTTTTCTTTATTAAAAATATATAGTTTGTTTAGTTTAAAACAGAACAAAAATTGTTCTTTAGTTTATTTTTTAATTCATTTCCCACGTTCAAAACACTTTAAATAAAATTTAAATAAATGATACAAGTCAATTACCAGTAAAAACACTTTAAATACCCTGTATTACTCATCCGAATTAATAGGTCCTTATCCTTTTAGGTCCTTATCCTTGCCGGAATATTCAAATTACAAGAGGTGTGCTTAATATTAATTATAAGGGAAACGGATTGTAAAACAATTAATATTTTTACAACCGGATTGTAAAGGACAATAAAAAATTACATCCAACCGGATTGTAAAACGGAAAATATAACTATTTTTACAATTTGTAACCGGATTGTAAAAGACAATATAAAATTATTTTCCAACTATTATTAAATTATCATTTTTCAACCGGATTGTAAAACTAATATTAAATTGTAATTTTTAAAATTTGTAAACGAAAAACAAATAATTTTGTAACCGGATTGTAAAAATATGTGATTATTTTTTCAAACCGAATTGTAAACTAAGATATTTACTTATATGTAATAGTGTTTCACCGTAACCGAAATTTTGACCGGAACCAAAAAACACCGGAACTTCCGGTGAAACTCTTATATGTAAATACTATTCTAACCGGATTGTAAACTGAAACAGTAATTATTAGTTTGTAACCGGATCCTAATTTGCAACTAAATTGTGACGGGAAATACCGTATTTACTCTGGTAATTCCCCAGGGGGATTATTGTTTCAACCCATCTCTATGGTGGGGAGTAATAGAGACTGGGGAATTAATAAAGACTGAGGGATTACTAGAGTAAATACGGTAATTATTTTTTATTTTTTTGTCAAGAAAGTTTTTTGAACAAAACCGGATATGTACATATGTACAAGAGAATAAATAATTTACCTATATTTGCAACCGGATTGTAATACGAGAATATATACTTACTATAACCTTTTACAGACCGTTTACAATTTAATTATTCATTCAATTTAAATTTTCTCTCTCTTCCCCAAATATTTATTTAAATTTGTCATCGTTCAAAACACCCCCCATTTTTACAAAAAATTCAAAAAAATATTTTTTAACAAAAAATTGTTTTTATTATTACGTGTCATTTATCGCCATATAACGGTTTTCTACCAACTATTAATATTTACATAAAATTCAAAACAGAAATCTAATATTTGGGGGGAACGACCGGTTTTGGTAGTTTTCTCTTTTAATGGGAAAAATTGAGGGGGGGGGGGGGAGGGGGGGGGGAGGGAGGAGAGGGGGGAGGGGGAAGGGGGAAGGGGGAAGGGGGAAGAGAAAATTGGCTGCGGGAAGAAAAATTCCATTTTCAGGAGTTTACAAAACTAACAAAAATTCATTGGAGCAAAGGGAAAAGGCTAAATAAAATGCCACCCCCTTTATCCGTCCTAAAGCCAGATCGGGTTTCTTATTTTTTCCATTCTCGCAGCAGAAACAAACATTAAAAATAAAATAATAGAAAAATAAATAAATATATTTTGTTACTAAATTTATTTATTTTTGAGTAAAAATAAAGCTTTTAGAATTGAATTTTTAATTAAAGGTTCCATCCCGAGCCCTGCGATTCCTTCTTAGATCTAATTCGATCCCTTAGAGCAATTCTTCGAACTTCGCTATAGTTTTCCTATATTGCCCATTAAAAGTACCTCTCCCTCCCCCCCCCCTTCAAGATGTCAAACTCCCAAACCTCTAACTCTGCCCGAAATTGAGTTCCGATTTTTTTAAATCGAACTATAAGAACAGGCGTTTTTGGTTGCCATTTTCTGGTTACTAGTCTCCGATTTTTTATGTTGAATAAGAGAACCTCGAGGGATTCAGACCATTACCGTATTTTCTCGATTAATTCCCCTCCCTTGAATAATTCCCCCCGCTCGATTAATTCCCCATACTAGAGTTGGGTTGAAACAATAATCACCCCCAACTACCCTACTACACGTTCAAACATTGATTCTACTACACGTTCAAAATCTCCTCTCTCGATTAATTACCCATGCCAAGGAAGGGTTGAAAATTAACTCCCCAGGGGAATTAATCGAGAAAATACGGTATTTTATCCCAGTCCCAACCCCTTCAAAAATCTACATAAATGTCCCACATCTCCCACTCCGAACGTTTGTTGTCGAACCCTACGTAAGAAATAGAGGACAACCAAACTTTTTTAGTTTTTTCAATCACGCAATTAAAATTTATAGCCAAATAAAATCTCTTAAAATTTCCTTTCTCTCCCTTCAATCTTTACTTAATAATTTCCCTTAAATAGGCCCATCTATCTTCTTCCAATAATAAAAAACTGAAATGCGCAGATCAATTAGACCCCTATATATTTTTGTAATAATAATAAAAAGAAGAATTCATCTCTCTCAGATTTTCTTTATGATAAAAAAATATTTATTTCTTTAACTTTCTTCCCTATCAATTTCCAAATCTCAAAAGATGACCCAAAGAATTTTTTGGGGGGATATGACCTTTCACAACAGCTTACAAATCTGCGCATCTAAGTACACACAAAAATGCTTTTGTTATTTAATTAAAAGGCCGAAAAAGATACCCTCCCCTCCTTTTGCTTGACTGCTTTTACTTTATTTTTTAGTTTTTTGTCCGCCCATTATTCTTCTCTCCTTTCTTTTATTCTTATAGCTTCACCCGATTCATTTTTACTTTAAAGGGTTAGATCAAAAGCAACTCAACTTTTGTTGGGGAAAGGTCTCTCCTATTTTTATTTAATTTTTAAATTTTACAAACACTTTGAAATTCAATTTTTGGTACTTTTTTGGATACCCTGGCCCCACTTAATTTGAGTATTGTTATTATTTCCTCCTTCATTTTTGGTTGTATTTGGGTCAAACAATATATATTTTTAGACTGCATTCATTTTTACTTTAAAGGGTATGTAAGTGACGATTCCTCTCATCGAGCTCGATGAGAGGAATCGTCACTTATATATACTGCCTGTGGAGAATAAGTGAGAATTAAATTAGGTGTGGGGATATCCAAGAAAGGGTACAGCCCGAATAGTCGCGCGGCCATAAAGTCGTCAATCCATAACTTGCTAAAAAATTTCTGGCCCTTATCAATTTTTATACCAATCTCTTTAGCTCGATGAGAGGAATCGTTTAATAATAAATTTGGAAAGATTGGGAATCTTAAAGCAAGTTATGGCTTGGCGATTATGGCCGCGGGACTATTCGGGCGGGCCCTCCAAGAAGTAACCAATTTTTTAAAATTTTTTACAAAGCTTTGTAATTCAATTAAAAATGTCAAAATTAATTTCAAAATTAACAAAAAAAGGTCACAAAAAATCAAAACAATTCTTTCTCAATTCTCGATGTTTGCGCAATCAATCAAAAGGGGAGAAGCTTTTTTCTCTTACCTGCCGTTTTGCTTATTCATTTTTTAATTTCACATTAGCCTCGTTTAATCGATTGATTGTTTCCTCATATGTTTATTTACAAATAATTGTAAAAGGGAAATAATTTTTAAAATTATATTACAATTTGTAGCCGGATTGTAAAAATACATACAATTAGTTTCACAATTTGTAATCCGGTTTAGGGATGAGCGCAAGAGACAATCTCAAAAAACGCAAAAGCAACGCAAGGCCAAAATTTAACGCAAATGACGCAAAACGCAATGCGCTCACCCCTGATCCGGTTACAAATGAAATAATTATTGAAAGTTTATTTTAGAATCCGGTTTTAAAAATAAAATTACTTAAATATTAGCCTTACAATAGGTTTACAAACTGTTTTACAACCGGATATTAATAAATAATTCAACTTAATATTATTACAATTTGTAACCGTATTGTAAGAATAATATTTAATTTTTATTTTTACAACTGAATTGTAAAA